AACTGTTTTAAAACTTATATTTATCCGATTCGCCTCGGTCTACCCTAAGTTATTTGATGGATATAGTATCATTTTAAAGGAAGATTGTTAGTGAATTTGGCAAGGATTGGTGAAGGGATTACCGATTTCTGCTTAAAAAGTGTGTAAGATGTACATGTAATTTTATATAGAGTATTATTAAAAAAAGGGGGAAGGTTACCGATTTTTGTTTAAAAAATGTGTAAATATCTTTAATGATACTCTATCCATAAAAAAATATGTGCAAGTAGAAACTTGCACATTGCTTTCTCACAGTTTTTAAGTGTGCAAGTAGAAACTTGCACATTGCTTTCTCATAGTTTTTAAATGTGCAAGTAGAAACTTGTACATTGCTTCCTCATAGTTTTTAAGTGTGCAAGTGGAAACTTGTACATTGTTTTCTCATAGTTTTTAAGTGTGCAAATAGAAACTTGTTTAAGTGAGCAAGTAGAAACCTGCACATTGCTTTCTCTAGGAAGCCAAATTAATAAACATCTACTAATAATTATGCATAAAAAACAGGCTTTCTCATAGAGAAAGCAATGTGCAGGTTTCTACTTGCACACTTAAAAACTATGAGAAAGCAATGTGCAAATTTCTATACTTGCACACTTTTTTTTTAAATGCAATAGTTCGACGTTTTATAAAACTCTGAACATATTAGCATCAAAAACTCCAAAAACAATCTTTTTTTTTAGTTTTTTTTACCCTTATTTCATATATAATTCATTTAAATTTGGTTGATTAGACTCAACTTTATACCCAATCAAAGGTTCATATACAAAGTTTACGAAAACAAAGCTTCTTCTATAAGGAAGCAAAATCTATTAGAGATGATTGAATATTCAAAATACTTTTGAAATCAATTGAAATTAATTTACGTCCAATTTAAATAACAGAACACCCAGTAAGCAATTTAATAGCAAATTGTCGCCAAGATGGCATCAAATTCGTTCAAAGATTGGTGTCAAATCCGGTGCCATCTGTGTCATCTTTAAGCTCGTGTTTTGCTAGCAAAGCCTGTGCATATAACCAAACAGCAAATTGGCAGTAAAAACCGAGCAAGCTTTGTGTAGCGTTGTCTGCCAAAAAATTGTCGGCAAATACCGAGCAAGCTTTGCCTAGCGTTGTCTACCAACAAATTGTCGACAAACACCAAGCAATCTTTGCGTAGCGCTGTCTGACGACAAATAATCGGCAAAAACCGAGCAAGCTTTGCGAAGCGCTGTCTGACGACAAATAATCGGCAAAAACCGAGCAAGCTTTGTCTAGCGTTGTCTACCAACAAATTGTCGACAAACACCAAGCAAGCTTTGCGTAGCGCTGTCTGACGACAAATAATTGGCAAAAACCGAGCAAGCTTTGCGTAGCGTTGTCCGACGGTAAATAATCGGCAAAAACCGAGCAAGCTTTGCGTAGCGTTGTCCGACGACATTTTGGCCTAAAAAGCCGTGCAAGGAATGCGCAACACTGTCAAAAAATGGGATTCGAACTCGGGACCTCGGGACCTCTGGATCGTGAGCCAACTGCCTTACGTGGTAGACTACTTCTTAATTTTTTGTAAGTGTTATATATAATCTACATACGTCATAATCAGCGCAAATATATAATTTTTTAAAAATCATCTTAAGAAACAAATTCAGTTTAAAAAGAGTAATAAAATTTTGAATTAGATATACGAATATAATTTTTAAAACAGCAGACTAGGAAGAGCTAAAGAACTAGTGGCGCTGAGCAAACAAAAACTGAGAGTGGCGGAGGGGCTGCAAAAATTTTGGATTGGATAATATACAGTATATATAGTTATTAAACCGGATTTTGTGTAATAGCCATGTTATTATAGCTAGTCTATATGACCGCGCGTGCTCATTATTTAATCTGTTCAATGTTTATTTAATTTAATACGTTTAACGAGGAACAGTGTATAATGAGCATAAAAGTATTCGAAAATATATTATATTCAGTAATCTTTTTATTGTTCTAGCAATATATATAGGTATATATAACAATATAGAACAATAAAAAGATCACTAAATATAAAGTATTTTCGAATACTTTTATGCTCATTGTACACTGTTCCTCGTTAAACGCATTAAATTAAATTAAATATATATAAAAATGAAAAAATATATAATTAATATCATTATATCGTTAAATTGTGATAGGTCTTGCTCGGGTTTTGCCGCCAATTTGTCATCAGACAACACTACACAAAGCTTGCTCGATTTTTGCCACCAATTTGTCGTTAGGCAGCACTGTGCAGACCTTGCTCGATTTTTGCACCAATTTATCATTAGACAGCGCTGCGCAGACCTTGCGCGTATTTTGTCGCTAATGTGTCATCAAATAGCGCTGCACAGATCTTGCTCGATTTTTGTCGCTAATTTATCGACAGAGTGCTCGATGCAAATATTACTCGGTTTTTGCCGCCAATTTGCTGTTTGGTTATATGAGTATATTTGCCCGTATATTGCCGCCAAAGTGTCGTCAGGCAGCGCTACACAGATTTTGCTCGATTTTTGCCGCTAATTTATTGTTAGAGTGCTCAACGCAAATTTTGCTCGGTTTTTGCTGCCAATTTGCTGTCTGGTTACATGGCCACATTTGCCCGTATTTTGTTGGCAATTTGCTATCTAATTATGTCAGCAGATTTTGTTGCATATTTGCTAGCATTTTGTCGACATTATTTGTTAAATCAAATTCTGTATTAAATTTGTATCCTTCTTGTCAACAACATTTGTAGCAAGATTTTACAAAATCTGTTTTCGACAGACTTGGCTATCTGGGCACATTTAATTAACTTAATGCCATCTGTAATTTCAGGCAATATTAACCAGCTCGAAACACATCGAAAAGAGTTTCTTTTATAATATTTTACACCCTTGGTTTGGTACTGGTCTTCTTACTAGTAAAGGTAACAAAGATATATAATTGTACATGCTTTATTAAATGTTGTTTTGGCTTATTATTAAGTTTTTTTTTATGTTTCAATTTTTTTGATAATAAAATAAACTTCTGCAAAAAAATTTAAATATATTTAAGTATATTTATATAAGTAATTTAAGTATATTTTATAAATGATAAAGTTATATAATTATATTCTTTCTTTTAGATATAATGTAATAAGTGAAACTTTGATATAAATGTAAATGCCATTTTGATGAATGACTTAAATTTGATATGATATACGAAGTTTGTTCAAACAATTCTCAAATTTTGTCTTTTATATAATTTTTAGGGGTTTGCTTACAACTTACTCCCTGTCTTTTTCAAAATATGTTTCTTCTGGCCCCACTTTCTACTTCTATGCCGTTTGTTTTGGAAAAAGAAAAAATAATTCGTGAAAGCCAGTCGAGAAAGTGTTAGGAGAAGAAGGCTTGAACTGTGGAAAAACAACTCATGGTTTCTTCATTACAACAACGCGATCGTGCGCACATCGCTGCTGATCTCTTGAATTCTACAAAAACAAAGATAATCATGGTTCCTTAGTTTCCCTATTTCTCGACCTGGCCTTCGACTTGGAGATATTTCCAGAAGTGAAAATATTGCGCGAGAGTGATGTGTCAAATTAATGAGAAGGGACATATCTCGAAGAAGACAAAATCCAATAAATTGTAAACATAAAAAATTATAAAGACAAAATTTAGGATTATTTTCATTTTAAACAGATCTCGCATATTCTCAATATCGGATTGGTCAATTATTATCACACAAGAGAAACTTTTTTAAATTTTTTCCAATCAATCACCTTTAATTAAAGTAATAATATTAATACATAATAAGCTTTAATTAGAGTAATATTAATAACGATAAAATTTTATTTTTATTGACAAATAATATAATCGACAGATACGGTCATAGGCGCCGACTTTGTGAGGGCAATGCACTTTTTGCCCCCCCCCCTCTTCTCCCGATAATGAAATTTTCGGGAGGGGGGGGTAAAAGGTGCATTGGCTCCACAAAGTCGGCACCTATCAACTATTTCAAAGAACCATATCTATCGATTACTATGTAACTCATTACTAGATGCGAGGAACTCAAAATGGGCAAGGTTCTTTGAAATAGTCGATGGTCATTAAAAATCGATAAATTCAAAATTAAATAACAAAATATATATCTCACCGCAATATTTGTTTTACATCGTTATCTCACAATTATATTGTTTATATTTCAGGCGCCAAGTGGCATTCACGAAGAAAGATATTGACCCCTACATTTCATTTTAATATATTACAAAATTTTGTTGAGATTTTGATTGAAGAAGGCGAGAGCATGACCAAGTCTTTGAAACATACAGGAGGAACAGTTGTAAAAGATTTAATACCGTTTGTCAGTAAATATACGCTGAATGCAATATGTGGTATGACGTCGTGTTTATTACTGTACAGAATTTTATTTCTATTGACAAATGATATAAGACAAAATACAATATCTTTATTGAAAATATCAATATCACAACATACTGATTCAAATATTATTTGTAAGATATTTTTAACATAGGATATATAATAATATATATTATGATATCATGATACTTTTACAAATGTGTTTGCAGAAACTGCCATGGGTACTTCTCTACATGGCCATGATACGTTCCAGCAGCGGTATCGAGAAGCGGTTCATCAGATAGGCAAACTTTTAATTTATAGGTATAATAATTTATAGTTGTAATAAATAACACACTGCGGTATATTCATATTCTATTTTAAGGACATAGATTCATATTGTTGTACAATTATATCAAAATAAATCATAATACTTGTGATAAAACATTATTCTGGGTGGTAATTAAAAATTTATAAATCACATATAAATTATTAAATTGTTTATTTTAAAAATAAATATTGTTTAAAGTATTTTAAATGTTTGTAACGGCCTGACTTTATCGAACGCGGACTGGTGTGCGGGATCAGGAGTCCGATGAAAGGCCCAGAGACAATAATCAATTTAGTGCTACATGCATTAGTTTATTCAGCTTATTACATATGCGGGTATTCTATATAGCGCAGGGACGGGTGGAACGCGATATATACAACGAAGGGGCAGTGCGGATGCACTCGGTAACGGACGCGGTAGCACGCTATTCGACGGATTCGGTAGTATTTGATATAGCGCAGGGACGGACAGAACGCGGTATATACAACGGAGAAGTAGTGCGGGTGCACTTGATAACGCACGCGGTATCGTTACTCGATAGACGTATTACAGTACAGAAGCGGACGCGGTATCTTACAGGCAGTGCATGTGCACTTGATAACGGCGCGGTATTTAATAACGGACGCGGTATCGTTACTCGACGGGCTCGGTATATTACAGAGACGGATTACATATAGGCGGACGCAGTATATTTACAGGTAGTGCCTTTGCACTTGATAACGGCGCGGTATTTAATAACGAACGCGGTATCGTTACATAGGCGTATTACTCGGGCTCGGTATATTACATAGCCGTATTACATATAGGCGGACGCGGTATAATTACAGGTAGTGCCTTTGCACTTGATAACGGCGCGGTAGTTAATGACGAACGCGGTGTCGTTACATAGACGTAGTACTCGGGCTCGGTATATTACATAACCGTATTATATCTAGGCGGTCGCGGTATAATGCCTGGAGGCTCGCGGATGTTGCGGCATCGCGATGATATGCGTGAGGGAACGCGTAGTATGGGAGATTTCCGGAGCCCCGGGGCGGCGGCAGCGAGAGCCCTCGTTGCGAGGCCGAGCGCGCTCGACCCCGCAAAACCGTGCCTTCGGGGTGAGTTCTGAGGGAGTGCGGGAACACCTGAGAGCTCTCAGTCGAGACTCGGAGCACCGGACCTCGTTGGCGTGTTCCCTAGGAGTCGGGACTAAGTTTCTTCTTGGAAGCGGATCTTTCGACGAAGTGTCTATTTCTTGTCGCAACGGCGGTTTATATACCCGCCCGGCGCGGCGGGTTTGCTAGGAGCGCCGATCGTCGCGCTGCGGTGGGGCGGCGCGGCGCCGCGCTCGTCCTCGGGGCGGCTCGGCTCCCGTCGTCGCTCGTCGGGAGGCACCGGTGCCGCGCTTGGCCCGCGCACACGGTGCGTTTTGACTTTGTTTAAAAATGTGGGCGCACCGCGCCCTGGTCTTCGCCCGACTGGTCGTCGGTCGGGCGGCATCCGGCGGTCGTTTGCCGGGAACGATGCTTAGTGCACGGGGTGCATCGTTACATGTTAAATACCGCAACATTATGAAACAACATGCACAAATTGTACAGTCAAATATAAAGTTGGATGGATCTTTAATATAAGAGTAAATAGTTAAAAAAAATACTTATATAATGTTTATACTATACTAGCTGGTTACCCGGGCTTCGCCCGGGAGTCGTTTTTCTTAAAACGACTTCATTTATGTTTCAATATCCTTATTGTGAACTAACATAAGGAGTGTTCGTGGATTAAACATGTCGTAACCAATCTTTTTCTGCTCGGTCAATTATTTCCAGAAAAATTTGAAAAATTTTTGATACTGGTTTCCAAAAAGATCGATAACAAAAAATTATATACTTTATGGCACTCCCCGGGAAATTCTACTCCTGTTTTATATACAATTTTTTAAGATTCGGTCAATTATTTCCCGAAAAATTGGAAAAACTTTGGATACCGGTTTTAAAAAAGATGGGTAACGAAAAACTATACAGTTTATAGCACTCCCCGGGAAATTCTACCCCTGTTTTATATACAATTCTTTAAGATTCGGTCAATTATTTCCTGAAA